ATTTTCGCCTTTAGATAGATAATGGCCAGTGATGTGCTATAGTTAGGAAAAAAATTCGAATTACCTCTATATCTTGTATCCATGTCAATGGTTTCAACACACCCTTCGCAAATCCAAGTTTCGTGGTAACAGTTTGGCGATCAAAATTGATGGATTCTTGATTTATGGATTAAGGTTGTCTGAAAATTTGAATTTGGGATTTAGATTTGAAGAGATGGATTTGGGGTTAGGGTTAACGACTGAGGAGATTGAAGGAACAAATGAGACGGGAGAGATGAATCTATGATTTCAATTTTTTCATAGGGAAATTTTATTTGGTGAGAATTACCCTACATGACGTGGAATTTAACAGCCACGTGTCGATTCCGCCATCCACGTGTGCAACTGTTAGTGATGGGAGTAATATAGCGAGCTGTGGAATGCAACGTGATAGGGTGCAAATTAAAGTATAGTGAGTAAAACGTGACACAACCCAATGTTCGGTGAGCGTTGAACAATCAACTCCAAAAATTAGCTGTTAACTGTAATTGAACTACAAAAAAAATTGAAAAATTGCATTATTCAGAATTGCACAATCCAAATACATGTAATTTCAGAGTTGCATACACATACAATCACATTAAAATAAAACCAAAATAAAATTCAAGATAATAAGCAATTTGTATCCATGTTTAGACATTTTTCAAAGCCCAGAAATTCAATTTTCACTAAACAAATGCTCAGGATTGGAACCCAAGACCATTGCTTCTGTTGACGTTCAAGTCAAAATTCATCACGCTAGTATCTGAATTTCTAGATGATGGACTTGTACCAGTGGTGTGGATACCCTAGGCCCGAAGAAAGATGTGATTACGAAAATTTTGGCGGCGAAAGAGGAGCCTTGTCCTTTGGCTTTACCAAACCAAATGTAAGGCTTGGTGACTAGTATTATACGTTTAGTAATTGCGGCACACACAACTTTGTTGATCGTTCTAGCTGTTACAAGTGTGGGGCACTCAAGGATGATTGCTCCGGGGGCCGCGAGGATTTGATAGTGAAATGTCTCGAGATCAAAGGTTCGGAATCGAGGGCAGCAGCCGCTCTAGATGGAAATCTGGTGATTGGATTGTACTAGGTAAAATTTCTAGACAATCGAAGGTCGATAGATTTTGAATTTTTAGTATACACTGTAGATGACGAATGGAATGGAATATTTGGTTCGATTTTGGTTTAATTGCGTTTAATTGGATTTTTGGTTTTAATTGAAGACATTTATATATCATCAGTTTTGTTGGGAAAAAAAAAAAGATGAAGTGTAGGGTATGGGTATGGGTATGGGTATGTGTAGGGTGGGAATTTTTTATGGAATAATATTAAATTATCATTTTATCCTTTGAAATTGGAGAAGAAAATAAAGTTTTAAAAATTTGGGATTGTAGGTAGCACATATAAATTTTTTTTGATATAATTTGTGGGAAAAAAAAAATTTGGGACCGCAACTACAATTATTCATTTTTTATTTTGACAATTTGTACTATTATTAATGGCTAAACCAATGGAATTAGACAATTGGAGGGGAGGGTTTTGCACCTTAAACATTGTATTTCACACTAAAGGTTTAAAATATGGAAGTTTTGTGTTATTTTCAAAAGGTTGGAGATTTGTGTTGTTTAGCATGGTATCAAACTCACAAAATTGTATCTATAAAATGAAGTTCTTTCTTTAAGGCCCTGTTTGATTGGCATTATTTTTCAGGGAACTAGGAAAATATTTTCCATTTTCTACTTTTTTGGTTGTTTGACAGGTGAAATTTNAATTGTGAAAAAAATATCACTTTAATGGACAACTTCCATATAAAACAAAGTCAAACGAATAGAAAATTTAAAAAATTTTTGGGTGGAAAATTATATCAATCAAACACACTTAAAATTATTTTCATTACAAAATATTTTCTAGGCAAATCTTTTCCGTATAAAACATTTTATTTCCATCCATTTTCCACCCTTACAATCAAACACACCTTAAAATATATAAGATTTTGCTTATATCTTTCTATATATAAAAAGTGTCTATTTAACGGAATTTGTTGGTTAACGGAAAAATTAACGGAATTTGTTGTTTTAACGCATTATGTAACGGAATTTCTTATTTTAAACAAGCAGATGTACCTTCGTTTAGTATTTTTATCATAACTTTGTATTCCGATATTCGATTAAGACGATTCAAAATGCGTTGGAAAGCTAATCTATCTGGTTACAACTTTGATTCAGACATCATTCTCCAATTCGATCATTTTCTATGCCAAAAATATGTCTCAATATAACGGACTATGTAACAGAATGTTTTGTTTTAAACAGGTAGCTGCACCTTCTTTCAGTGTTTTTATCATAACTTTGTATTTTGATATCCAATTTAGGCGATTCAAAATGTGTTGGAAAGCTAAATCATCTGGCTATAACTTTGATTCAGACATCATTCTCCAATTGGATCACTTTCTATGCCAAAATTAGGTCTCAATATAAAAATCAGCAAATGATTTGTCTATAAAGTATGTTGTTCACTTCGTTCAATTTGCAAAACTGCTAAACCATTAGAAAATCAAAAAATCAAAAGAAACTTTCAATCGAAATCGAAAAGCCTCCGTTCCACCTGCATAAAATCTCTATTTCTTGTTCTTCTTGAGCATCCCTTTTTTCCAATCGAAATCGAAAAGCCTACGCTGACAAAAATTTATTCAAAAGATAGATTTCTTGTGCTAATTATGGCAATGGCCTTTCCATTGACCATCCATTTTGGCCACAAAATGAAGTATTAAAATTATGCAACTATTGTTTTTTGTATTCGATTTTTTGATATTAGGTGGGCAGCGATTGGCAGGTTAAGGTGGTGGTGGCAACTACGGTGGGCCGTCATTTGGATGGATTTGCAGTGGTCTGTTGGTGGGTGAGTGGGTGGCGGTGGGTAGGGCCCTGTTTGGTTTGTATTGAATGTGGAAGAAGGTAACGTTTCCTTTTTTTTTTAATTATAATTTTGTAAAATATTTTATATGATAAAATTAGAAAGTTACCATTTTATTCTCCACTTAATTGACCAAAAAATGTCAGAATTTATTTTCTTGGTAAACTAATGGCAAATTAGACGGATTCTATCCATTTCGACTTGAGAAGCAGGTGTGAGACTGCAACCATTAAAAGAATTGAAAAAAGTCTTTGAGTGTTTAAAAATATTTTAAAATAATAAAATAATCCATTGTTTTGATGGAGACTGAAGGTATTTACTGCTTCCTAGGGACTTTTTTGATTTATAGCCAAACAGGGCAGGGGTATGAATATTGAAAAGTGGGCTTTTGTCTAATTTTTTAATATATAATTTTGAGTGACTTGCATAGCCGAAGAATCACATCAGCTATCATTTTCTCTGTAATAATCTAAACCATAAACGACAGTATATTCTTTGGAACGATGTATAAAAATCACATCAGCCCTTTGTTGCAATTATTGTTTCCTTCAAAGAGTTATGGCTATCCCCATCTCTTCAGCACCACTATTAAACCACGACGTCGTCCATGGCTCCGCAGACTTCAAAGGCCGCCCTGTAACCCGATCCCAGTCCGGGTGTTGGAAGTCAGCTTTCTTCATCATAGGTAGAGTTTGTAATTTCTATACACAGCAAAATTGGATTTTGTAACAAACTATTAAGGTGTTTTGCCTTGGATTAGCAACTTATTAAGGTTTTGTTCGATTTATTAGGTGTTGAAGTAGCTGAGAGATGTGCATACTATGGAATACTTTCAAATTTGATAAGCTATTTGACCGGCCAATTAGGCCAATCCACCGCGAAGGCAGCGGCAAATGTCAACCTGTGGACTGGAACGGCTATGCTTACTCCGCTACTGGGTGCTTATGTGGCCGACTCCTTACTCGGTCGATACCGGACCATTATTATTGCCACTGTCCTCTATATACTGGTCAGTTCAAGAAAGTTCTACACGAAAATTGCCATATAATTATTTGCTTATATATGTTTTCTATTTCCAGCTTTTAAATTATTTGGAATGATAGATGGACTTATTTAAGATATTTCGTTGGAATTATATGGAACAATGTTATTCATAGTCAGCGACCACAATATTCATTGAATGTGACATCTTGTTATTTGAGGTGTTAATTTCCTATAATTCTGTTGTCTCGGATAACAAGCTGTTGCATAAGAATAACTATTGCAATCGTGGACCAGGAATAGCATTACTCGAATTATATATCTGTCAAGCTACAGATCTTTTAGGAGTGGTTAAGCCTGCTTCGGTTGCACCAAAAGATGATACGATTCCTAATTCTGATCTTGTAAATAGACCAAAATATAAATATGAAGTTCTCCAGCAGATGTCGACTTCGTACAGTTGAAAATTTTTCAGATTGAGTGAAAGGGTTGAAATTTGTCTGTGAAGGTTATAAAGTTCTGTATTCTGATGTTCGGATTGAATTGGCTATCTTTTGGCACTATAGTTTGTTATCAAATTTTTTTTTGAACTTTCAAGTTTGAAGTTTTTTGAGCTGGTAGTATTTTGCATGTTTTTCCATGATGTAAATGCCTTTACTTGGTTGAGCTTGTGATATTTGGTATGTTAGTTGATGGAGTTTCCGTATGTTGAATTAGATTTTGGATTCATTACGGGGTCCTGCTCTCATTCATGATAGAAGTTTTGCTTAATCATTTTGAAAAAATACTAATAGTGACAGGAGGGGCTCGAGAAAATGACATTTTTCTTCCCCTTTCAAAATTTCTAGAAAATTCATTTATATTCTAATGGAGCCAGGGACTTCAATTTCGCTATTGATTTTCAGCAGTTCTGTCTCTCACTTCATTAATGAGAAGTACTTTTTTATTACATAACATTCTTGAAAATGATACTCTCGAGGGAGATGCTAATCATGTTCTTCAATTGTTATGATCTCAGGCACTAGGCACTATGTCCATATCTGCTGTTGTTAATTCATTCAATTCTTCAGACTGCCAAATTACTGCAGCATATAAGGCAGCATGCTCTCCGCCGCAGTTTCAAGTTATTTGCTTCTTCTTCTCATTGTATTTATTTGCACTAGCACAAGGTGGGCATAAACCTTGTCTTCAAGCTTTTGGAGCTGACCAGTTTGATGAGCAAAACCCAAAAGAATGTAAAGACAAAAGCTCCTTCTTCAACTGGTGGTGTTGTTTCTCGAATATAGGTGTTGTAGTGTCTCTCTATGTTTTGAACTACATTCAAGACAACCTAAGTTGGGGTCTTGGCTTTGGAATCCCGTGCATTCTCATGTGCGTTGCCCTAATTATGTTTTTGCTTGGAACTACGACTTACCGATTTCGCACACAGAGTGAAGAAGCAAGCCCATTTTTGAGAATCAGTCACGTGTTCCTAAATGCGGCTAGAAATTGGCGGACTACCCCGGCAGAAATATCTAAGGAAGAGGATGCTCTGGGTATTCTGCCTTATCAAGGTTCTAAACAGTTCAGGTAAGTCGACTACCATTTTATTTACTTATTCTGATATTTCAAAGGACAAAATGTCTCTTGACCTCGCTTTTATAAAGGTATGGCTTATTTGGTAAAAAATATTGTATAATTCTAAAAATTAAGGAAGAAAGTGAAACTAAATTTTTATCCATAGCATCGACCAGTATGGACACAAACTTTCCCTTAAGTTTCTATAGATTAGTCCCAATAAGTGTGCTTTCAATAGAATTCAACAGTCTATGTTTCTGCATTATCCAAGTTTGCTATTGTCTATTGGTATTGTTTCTTTATTAGTATAACAGTATATTAATGTATAAAATTCCCTTATCTAAACCAGGTAAACATTTTACCTTCTAACCTAGAACAAGGAAAAATACGCTGATACTCATCTCTAAATTTTGGTATCAACTATTATGAATTAGATGCTACTAATTCCTCCATAATCACTGGGATGTGAAATAAATTATTTAAACTGAGAAGAAATAGAAGACACAAAAAAGAGCAAGTACAAGAGACAAGGATTTGACATGGTTCAACAATTGTGCTACGATCACAGACCTACACCATTTTTTTCACCATATTAACGAAAGAAAGAAGAATATAAAGAAAATACTGACTGCATATTCTAGCCTATGCAGAGGTTTTTTCTGTTCAGTTTTCTCTTGTCTAACTCTATGTAGAAGCCTAACTCTTTGTTTCTGCCTCTCTGCATCTCACTTTCACACTAGTAATTTTTCATCTGCCAAGCTACTCTATTTATACACAAGTGTTTGGCCCCATCAATTAATTACAATATGAGAATTGTTTCAGGGACAGATTTTGCACCCGAAATTAGCCATTGCCTTTTCCCATGCCCATAAAATATTTACATTAATCGCCTTGACAAAATTTGCATTTAACCATGTGCTTACCCATCTTGCAAGAAACCATTCTGAAGACTTTTGAATGTGAAGCTTATAATCATCATTAGGCTCCATTCCTCAACATTTTGGATTGTGACAGGTTTCTTAATAAAGCATTTCTTGCACCTGATGGTTCAATGGAAGACGGGAGGGTTTGTAGTATCCCTGAGATTGAAGAGGCAAAGGCAGTACTGAGACTTGTTCCAATATGGATTACATGTTTAGGATATGCAATTGTATATTCACAATCCTCGACTTTATTCACCAAGCAAGGAGTTACTATGGATCGCCATATCACGTCTAGTCTACAAATACCAGCTGCTTCATTTCAATCTTTTGTGAGTGTTGGAGTTGTCGTCTTTATTCCAATCTATGACCGTATTTTCGTTCCAATTGCAAGATCCATTACTGGGAAACCCTCCGGCATAACAATGCTTCAACGAATTGGAACTGGAATACTTTTATCTTTTCTTTCCATGGTAATTGCTGCTTTGGTTGAGCTGGAACGTCTGAAAATTGTTGTCGAATATGGACTGGTGGACCTGCCAAATGCAACAGTTCCAATGAGTGTGTGGTGGATGCTACCTCAGTACTTGCTTTTTGGAATTGCAGATGTATTTACCTTGACCGGGCTCCAAGAATTCTTCTACGACCAGGTTCCCAATGAACTGAGGAGTGTTGGTCTTGCTCTATACCTCAGTATATTTGGCATAGGGAGTTTCTTGAGCAGTTTTCTTATCTCTGTGGTGGAGAAAGCCACCAGTGGTCCTGGTCAAGATGGTTGGTTTTCGGACAACCTTAATCGGGCTCATAATGACTACTTCTATTGGCTACTGGCTGGGATTAGCGCTGTTGCATTCGTTGCCTACTTGTACTTTGCAAAATTTTCGGACAACCTTAATCGGGCTCACCTCGACTACTTCTATTGGCTACTGGCTGGGCTTAGTGCTACTTTGTTTGCTATCTACTTATACTTTGCAAAATCTTATGTCTATAATCGAAAAAACAGTCTTTGAAGAAGCATAGAAGCATTAGCTGGACAAATATGGCTAGTAGAAGAAGAAACTGGGCTAAAAATATCTTGTTTGTTTCTTAGGTGGTGGTTTTAAATAAATAAATGTTGTTTGCTTGTCTTATGCATCTCAAAAAAGTTGTTTTTAATAAAGAAATGAAAATTCCAAGCTGATTATAGAGGTAAATTTCCTTGCTTATGGTACAAACTATAGATGTTATATGCGGTCAAAACATGTCCTCTTTGATGAACGTATAAGAATCAAATATTGTTACTTATTGAAAGAGTAATCATATCTAGCACCAGTAGTGTTAGAATAGTAGTTTATATGGCATTATATGTTAGGTTTAATAAAAGGTAAAATTGTGTGATTTATTAAATTATACCTTTCATTTAACGATACTTAATGTCACATATAATGGTGTTTTAACATAGTATTAATCTTATCGAAAACACGAACTCGAATGAAAGAACACTAGTTCCCAAAATCCTAACTTGAAAATTATAGGCAGCAATGCAAATGTGTTTAGAATTAAAAGACATCTTTGTTGTTTGTTGTAAAGTTGACTTGGTAAGTAGAGATGGTCTTAAATTCCTCAATTAGACTTTACAAAAACGAAAATGTTGTCGCCGAATTTAGTATTTGGTAACTTGACATAAATAATGTTTTCCTCAAAGAAATCAATTTATCTGGTTTTCTTGTACACAAAGTTCCTCTTGTTTTGTTCATAAGCTTCATTAAGCTCTCTACGAAGTCAAATATGTTTCCAGTTAATTTGTATCCCTCAATCATTTTTATATCATCACGTATTTCTTGAGATACTAAAATCATAGTTCAAGAATAAATAAATTCTATTAAAATTTGTTATGCTAAATAAAATCCCTTTTTCTTTACTCATTTTTGTCAAACTGGGGTGGTTGTTGAGCCAATCTCTTTTGCCATCCGAATCAATAAAGTGCCGTTCTCTTTTACCGTTTTGGGTCGTTTTCTATTTTCGATTTTTCAAAACAATGAAAACAAGTTCTCTTTGTTAGTTTCGAAAACAGATTTTGGAAAACGAAAAAAAAAATGTGAAGAAAACGCAACAGATCAGCCAATGGAAAACACGGGAAACAACCATGTTACCCCCAAAACATCTCCTCCCTTTTTTCTGCCAAGCCACCTCCACCGCCACCTTCCAACCCTCTAAACTCTAGCCAACCTCCTCCAAAATGGCAGGATTTATATATCATTGTTAAGCCCTCAATCCCCTCTTCAATAACCACACAAACAACAATCCAATCATGTACCAAAATCGATCAAAAATATCCTCAAAAACATATTTGACACAAACTGCTTTTGTCGGAATCAACACCCAAGGTCACACTTCAATTCCTCATCCCCACAACATTGAATTCGCCACCTTCCCCTCGCCTCCATTTTCCAGTCGTCCCCTTCCCCTCACCTCAACACACGTCGCGGCAGAAGGAATCTACACCAGTCTGTTCATTTACTGTGGGAAGAAGGCCAAGCTTGTGGTCGGAAAAGGAGAGAGAGAGAGACGGGGGGAAGAGAGACGGACGGGAGGACGAGAGAGAGAGAGAGAGAGAGAAGGGAAGAAAATGTGTTTGGATGAGAACACCTTTTCAATTTTGAGTTTTTCAAAACAATTTTTCAAAATGGCAAAAAGAACACATTTTCAACAATTTCAAAATAGACACTCAAAACACAAAATACAAATTGAATTCAAAACTCAAAACACAAAATTGAAATACAAAGAGAACATCCCCTTAATAATCACAAAATACATTACACAATTCGATTCTAGGAAAGTAAGCGTTTCAAAATAGATTTAAAACACTTGAAAACAAATGTTTTTAGTATTTTCAAAACAATTTTTCAAAATGCCAAAAAAACACATTTTCAACAATTTCAAAATGAACACTCAAAATACAAAACCCAAAATGAATTCAAAACTCAAAACACAAAATTGAAATACAAAGAGAACAATCCCTAAATAATTTGGATGCCCAAACTCAATTCTTAGACCACGTTCTACATGGCTCGCGCATTTTGGTAACTTTTAAAATGTTTTATTACATTTTTCACATTTTTATTTATTTTTGCACATTTTGATAAATCTCACATATTTTGAACATTTTGGACATTTTTTTTAATTATTTTTCCACATTTTGATTCACATATTTTGAACATTTTGGGGGGCATTTTTACACGTAATTATGCATATTAGCTCATTATGGTAAATTTGGGCTTTTTCATTAAAAAAAATATTTCGTACTTTTTGTCAATTTCTGTTCGAAGATATGGTCCGTTTAGCACGTTTTTGGTACATTTTGGAACATTTAATCCATTTTTTTTATATTTTAGTGAGTTGTGGCACGTATTGTGGTACATATTGGCATGTTGTTACATTTCGACATGATTTTGTACATTTTCATATTTTGGTCCCTTTCTGACAGTTATGGTATATTTTGCACATTTTTGTACATTTTTTTTTTGCCTTACAGTGTATTTTGGTATACTTATTGCAGCCTTTGTTACATTTTTTGAGCATTTTTATACCTTCCACTAGGGGTGTTCAAAAGTCCCAAACCGAACCGGACCAGACCAAATCTAACCGGAACCGAACCGAACCGAATCGAGCTATTTTTCATAAGTTAAATACCCGAACAGGTACCCGAATCGAGAACCGATGAGTTTGGGTCGGGTCTAGACCAAAAACAAAATAAAAATCGAAACTAAATAATTTTTTTATNAGCAAATTAATTAAATAAATTAGATTATTACCATACCTTTTCAATTATGCTTGTAGAGTTTCTTACCATGACAAGTCAAGCAATTGATTATTAAATCAAATAGTTGAGAAGTATTACCAATACTTAAAAATATTTTATTTTTATAACTTCTAATTTATATTTCATTTTCTTTATGCAGGCAGGTTGCTTGAAGCAAGTGAATTTACTTTATGTAGTGTTATTGTAATATTAATATCTAATTTTTGATATTTGTATGCATTGAATTAATCTTATTGGACAGCTAGTTATTTATATATTTTTGAATTGGGCTACGTTAATTTGTAAAAGTTACGAATAAAATATCATTAGTTGTATTTATGTAGTGTTGCTATAAATATTAAAAAATTTAATTATGGTACGGAATCGAACCGAATCCGAACGGTTCTATAATTATATTTGGACCGACGATTCCATTTATTAAATACCCGAAAGTTTTGGGTCGGTTCGGTTCTCTTTAGAACCGAACTGAACCGACCCACAGACAGCCCTACCTTTCACGCATTTTTTGTACACGTTGGAGCGTTATGGTATTTTCACATATTGGGTGTATTTTGACACATTTTGGTGCATTTTAATGTATTCTAGCCCATTATGGTAAATTTTGTGATGTATTTTTGGACATTTCGTACATTATGTACATTTTGGAGCTTTTTGTTACATGTAGAGCATTTTGATACATTTTTTGTGAGTTTCACACATTTTGGTACATTTCTTACATTTTGGTCCATTTTTTGACAAGTTAAGGTATTTTTGGAGAATTATGGTCCATTTTGATTCGTTTTGATAAATATTTTTGGCAAGATATAATATATTTCGCCCATTTTGGTACATTTTAGAGTGTTTCGATATATTTCACACATTTTTGTTTATTTTTGCACGTTTTGGTCTGGATATAGTGGTTGTATACTTTTTTGTCCTTGAAGATGTAATCTAAATAAATACATGTAGTCTTCTTTAGAAGCATAAACTTTTAGATGTTAACTTTGATGATACTCTCGTGGCATCTCGTTTATTAAAAATTTCGCACTTAAAGTTTTTATTTTTAGATGAGATAGTGACAATCACGTAGCCACATTCTGCTAATTCCACCCCGATTTCCCATTCAACAATTTAGGGCAACATAAGGTTTAATTCTTTATGTTTTTTTTTTTTATTTAATACGACTTCAATTGGTTGAGAGATTTGCGCACTTAGAAACATATTTGAATTTACTAACCTATTTATCGAGTTTATGGGGCAAATCCAAATTAAAGATGATTATCCGCTGACAATGGTACGAGTCATCACCAAGTATATGAACTAGAGAGATGTTAGTGGTACATCACCACTAACATCGGGATGTCCATAATGGACACCCGACGCTACATCATTGGAGGGAGGGTCGGTAGGGTTGACACTCTCTCCAATGAGAGGACACAGGGTGTCCATTATGGACACCCTTATGTTAGCGGTGATGTACCACTAGCATAATTCATATGAACTAATAAAGGTAAGGTAGCAGCTATAAACGAAAAGAGCATTGCATTTTCTAGTATATGTAAATGTCAGGTTTGTACACCGTTTGAGCAATAATATTGGTGCTTAAAATTCAAGTACAATATTCAACTATTATCGAATATTATAACTATTTTAATAATTCAAATTTCATTCTCGACCTTACCCACCCACTTCACCAACTTCGCCAACACCCAAATCAACAATCACTTCCCACCCAAAACAAATAAGCAATTCACAATCACACCACCTTCACCTTTTATCGAACCACACCAACTATAGTGCCACCACCAGCAAATTTCATATTTGCATCAAAAGGGGCATCCACCGTACCTCAAATCGACAATCACCATCACCACCTCTACATCCATCTCAAACAAATCAAGTCGAGCTGCTTTAATTTATCAGAACTTAAGCTTCTTTTTTTTTTGTCGCTTGCTATTTCAATTCATCCTTGACAAAATGGTTAAAACAGTGGGATTGAGAAAATGGAGGTCGGGTGGGTACAAATCTAAGTTTTTCAAAGAATCTGGTGTTGGATAGGGTGGATGCTTGGACGTGGGGTGAAGAATCTAGAATGTGCCAAGACAATTGAGAATATGGTTTTGGGATGGGGCGACGTGCGAGTGTGGTATGGCGTGGTGTGGGGTGGGATAGAGTGGTGAGATGGGGTAGATATACTTGATTTTTTATAAAAAAATAAATAAATTACTA